GTAACTCCCTATTTAACAACACACTTGTATCATCCATAGCACCGGTACCCTTCAGACTACCAGTAATGACATCCTTTTGTTTAATGAACTCATTTCTCAGACCATTAATAGTCGCTAAAAACAATTGCTTTAAATCCTTCAGATACTGCCGGTGCTGAAGTACCTGTCCCTCCAGAGCCACTAATCTGGTCAGCCTTTGCCTCAAACTAACCCTCAACTCCTTGAGCCGGTGCTCAGTCTTATTGAACGCCTGTTCGCTACTATATCCTAATACCCAATACCTGTTGTGAAGTCCGGTGACACCACCCCTTGATCATCGAGAGATCAGTCACCACTTCAATATAAATCAATATTTACTATTATTTATGCCTATTTAGAAATATTTACAGTGTATAATACATGATAGAAATAATAACATGTATTTTTCCACCCTACTGTCTATACAACTAATTTCCAATTAATTAATTAAACTGTTAAATAAACATCTGTTAAATAATTTCAATAACTAGCTATACCTTACCAAACATATCCTCAGACTTCACGTCTATTAACACAATGGACTGCAAATTAAATGATAAAAATATGCCTAAAATTACAACTTTTGACGATTTGGTGGACCATTTGCGGACCATTTTCGAGGGCAACGATATAGATGTGGATTACGTCCAGAACATAATGCTCTCCTATAGGAGTAATCCCATTGAATGGCAAAGATACGCTCATTTTGACCGAAACACGTAATTATTTATTTCAATATACTTAAATTTAGTTAACTAGGTGAACTAATAAACAAAACAACATTAATTTATTTTAAATATAACTGATATTACTATAATTGTATAATTAATAATTATTAATTGCGTGATAGTGAATACGCGAGTTATTACAACATTTAATATATTATATAAGTTGATTTACTATTATTTTTTAGGTATACCCGGAATCTGGTGGACAAAGGAACGGCAAATACAACCTAATGCTCGTGTGTTGGTCAGAGGGGCCGGTAGTCACCCGTATTCACGACCACTCAGACTCGCACTGTTTTATGAAAGTCAGTACCCCTTACATACAAATCTAATGATACAAACCCTGGAGATAATCCTCTAATTTTCATGAATCAGATGTTGACGGGAAGTGTCCACGAGATTAGGTACGAGTGACCGGACATCAAGAAGTCGTCTCAAGAGATGAATGTTTTGGATGAGAGTGTCATAGAAGACAATGGCGTCGCGTATATCAATGGTATGATTGTCTCAGTTGTCGTGTATTTGTGTCAATGACTTCATTCATGTGTCCATTCATAGACTCGATTGGTTTGCATAGACTGGAGCACCGGTCGGCCACCTCTCAGGCCGTATCTCTACACCTATATATACCGCCGTATAATAAGTGCCAGATATTTGACGAGAGCACCGGGAGTAGCAATGAAGTGAAATCCACTTTTTATAGTAAATACGGTATGCGTACACCGTTTACTGTGTCCAGTAACTAAATAATTAAAGTATAAAATTTTAAAAGTATTTTATGATTTTTATGCTTTAAAATTACTACAACTAATCAATACTGTGTAAAAATTATAAATTTCATTTATTCTATACTTATTTAGAAAATTTTAAAATGTTTTATTATACTGTAATGAAATGCAATTATATTTTAATATTAAAGACTAAATTATATAAATTATAATAATTATATCAATAAATTTTAATATTAGGTTACATTAT